TTAATTTGGTCCCTTTTTATTTTGCACACTTTTTTTTAATAGAATTTGAGTTCATCTTATTACACATAAAACCAATACAATTTTGCGTCTCCATTCTCCCGCCCAATGTATTGTGATCTGGACCGTCCATCACTTTAACGCCTCAACCATCGATTCTTTACCCTGTCTTCAGTGTCTTGCCCTTCACAAAAGGGGGATTGGAGAGAAGAAGATTGTAAAAAACATTACCCTGTCTTGCCCTTCACATTATCTTCTTCTCTCCAATCCCCCTTTTCATCTTTATCTACTACTTTGTATCTTCTTCTCCATCGTCTCTTCTTGGCATAACTTTTGTATCATATTGTAACACATTCACCTCACCACACAATCTTCTCACAAGTCTCTACCATAATTGTTTTCCTGCTCATAAATGTTTACCCCAATTTAATTGTTTCATCCAGGAAACCCTAAATTTGAACCTAATATTCTTCTTCAAAATGACCTATTGCAATGGAAAAGAAATGATGAAAAGAAATTCCCTAACCTTCTTGGGATGGAAACATCCACTTATACATGTGTTACAATGGGTTGTGTTCATATTTTAGAAATGAAGTTCCAATATCATTGCAATTACAGACACGTCAGTTCAATGGGACTTCAACTGAAGTAGGTAGATTGCCCATCTTCTGTCAAGTAACCCCGTTTGTGTATGTGTAAAGAAATGTGTTCAACTTCCAAAACATTATCACACACCTACTTCTTCATTTTGGCATTATAGGGATGGAGTTGTTCTTCACATTATAATTGCACACTTCATATCTTATTTTTCTGCCTTACTCTTCGGTTTTTACTCTGCCTTATTTTTCCATCATTTGCAATGGAGTCAAAGATTCATTATTTTTCTGCCTTATTTTTCCATCATTTGCAATGGAGCCAAAGATTCATTATATTTTGGCTTGAGATTATGATGGAATAAAGCAAAAAGGCTCACTAAACTGTCTGCGCTTCTTTGTTATGAAGCAGCAGTCAGTCCATGCAATTTTGGATGGGATTTTCACTATGGGTCATTCGGAAACAGTTTCTTTTTGCATTAGTACATGGGTAAGACTGCGTACATCCGACCCCCCTTACCCCACCATAGGTGGGAGCCTTTGCGGCATTGGGGTAAATGAAAATGATGACTCTTCATTTTTTACTCTCCGTCATGTGATTACCCTTGATATTTTAGGGGTTATTCCTTCAATATTACTAAATTAAATGTGATTTCCTAAAATGTGACCACTTTTATATTTGGACAAAAATGTGACTAAAGTAGTCAGATTCATGTCATTACCACATTTTAATGTTACTGATCAAATTTAATGTCACTATCGAATATCACTGTCGCCATCACCGGTGTCACTGTCGCCACCACCGGTATCACTGTAGCCACCGCCTGTGTCACTGTAGCAACTGCCCCGTGTCACTGTGGCCACCGCCCATGTCACTGTGGCCACCGCTCGTGTCACTATGGCCACCGCCCGTGTCACTGTGGCCGCCGCCATGTGACTGTGGCCTACCAGCCCCCTCCCCAACCTACCAACCACCTGCCAAACACCACAGCCTGCCCAGCCCTATGAAGGCCACCCCACCACCACGCCACCGCTGCCTAACACACGAGGTAACTGTGGCCACCGCCACAGCCAGCCCAAAACTGATTCCCAAATCCCAACCACCACACCTGCACTCGGCCTAACACACCCGTCAATCTCGACTAGCAAAACTGTCATCGGTGACTTCTGCCACCATAACTATGACCAGACTAGCCGCCTCCCCAGACCCACCACACCCGCCCCATTCCCCAACCCCACCAAACCCCGCCCCAGTCCTGCAAAATCGCTGCCCAACACCCTTCCCCCATCCGCCGCCCCTGCTTTTAAACCAACTTGCGCCCCCTTTGCATAGGAGAAATCTAGCCATAAGACTAACAAGTGAAATCCAAGGGTTTCCATAGCCGCCACCGACCTGATCTTAAAATCAAGGGCCTAAACCTAGCCGTCGCGAACTTCGATCGCGTTCTACCATGCTCATCCATCTTGTCACCTCTTAATCGATCGGACACAAATTTAAGAAAAAGAAGAAGAAACGCGGCAGACAGAGACATTGGATGTCGACGGAGACGGCGATGTAGAATACCGGCGGAGGAGTGGGACGCTGGCGGAGGCAGAGGTGTGGGACGCTGGCAGAGGCGCGACAAGAAGGTGTAGCCGGCGAGTTAGAGGCCATGGTAGTGCGAGCTTCGACTGTGGGAGTTCGTGAGAGGGAAGTTGTCGGTTGAGAGATATATCGACAGACGGAGGAGAGAAGGGTTATGTATGGTCACATTTTGGTCAAGTTTTAAAATGGTCATAGTTGTGTCCATTCAAACCTCAGGGGTAATAATTTTGCCATTCTTTCTTTACATTTCATATCGATTACTGTTGTTCTTTGCTTGAAATCTAAAATGTCTCAACTTTTAGTTCATTATGTATTACTTTAATTGACATCAATAATTTTAAACTTGAAAGGTAAATTTATTTCAAAACTTATTTTGATTCCTTACATCTAAGCCATGGGGGAGTTTGAAATGGCAGCTGTTTGGTGTGGTGTTTGTGGAGGTGGGGATTTCAGAAATATTATGGTGCAGTGTTTCATTTTTCACCAAATGTTTGTGTAGTTTGAATTGTTTGGCATAACGAAATTTGGTCGTTTTACTAGTATGTAAAGATGGAGATACTATTAAACTTCTAAAAAGTGCAAAATTGTCCCTAATATTCATATAAAGTAACAAATTTATTCTTTTTAACTCTAAATAAATGAAATAAATTTAATTTTTTTATAAATTTAAAATTCAGGCAAGAGAAGTGAAGACAACTTCTTGTTCCGGGTACATTTGCTGAGATCGTAGTATTCTCTCTACAGACCTCTCTTGTCGATATTTTACGGTTATTTCTCCCGCCGGTCGGCCTCCATCCTTTCAAATGACACCCACAGAGAGGAAGAGAAGCAAGTGTAGTGCCAGCGTACTTCATTTGTATGCTTACAGACTCGCCAGAGAATAAAATGACCACTTCGAAAATTTGACGGTATTTTTTTTACCGAGAAGAATCGTTGTTTGTGAGTTGCTGAAAGTGTTATTCATGTCAAATCAATACCAATTCCAATGTTTATGAGTCGCTCAAATTGGAGTGCTCATCGAATTCCAATTCTTTTTAGTCTTTACCGTGTACTTTTCTCGAATTCTATGTTTTGGAGTAGCGGATTGGGGTTTCATGGGGTGGTGCCATTGGGGGATTCCTTGATTCTTATATGATTGTGTTGTACTCCGTATATGATATTACAATGTGAGCTAGTAGATTAAGTTTAGGCGTGATGGTTATGTATGCACATTTAGTTGATGTGATCATGTGAGTATAAGGTCTGAATAACTAGAAATATTTTCAGAAGGCAATATTCAACTTCACTCTCCTGGATTTCTGTCTTCTTAGATGCAACCATTTTTTATTGAAATTAAATGAAGAAGTGCTAAAGCCCAGCAAAGCAGAAGCCTTTGAAAAAACTTCTGGAACAAGTGAAATGATTTCTTATAGGTAACTTCAGTCTTTAGTGAGATACAGACATATGTTAGATACCAAAATCAAAAGAGGGAATTTGATGTTCATTAAGAACGTAATTGAAGAACTGAAGTGAAACGATACAAGCTTAGGCACTTAGAGCAGCCTATCTCTCCCAAAATCCCAGCCCAAGTCTCAAGTGCTGCCTGCCTCTATTCTACTCCCCCAACTCCTATTTATTCTGTTCCATTTGGGCTAGCCCAATGCTATCTAATTCAGGGCCTAAACCCCTTTTATTGTACAATATTAAAAGACTAATATTATTCTTATTACTAGTACTATCTAGGTCTCTATCAACATAACAGTAGTGTGATCATTGTTTGATAACTTTACCATACTTTTTCCTGTATAAACTAGACTATTATGGCTTCTACATAATGCAATTCATATATTAAGCGTGAAGTCTAAATTCTAAATTTAGGGTATGGTGTCGTAAATTTTACATAAACTTGCCAATGATTTCAAAACTTCAAAGTCTGTGCTCGATTTATTCTTGAGATGTTCAGGTGTTTCTGGCTTTTATTTGGCCAAGCAGTATATCTTGTTCTTCTTTTGAACTTCATTTACATAATTTGAGATTACTTTAACTTTCTTACCCCAAGGTTTCATTCATTTCGTAAATCATCAACATGGAAACAAGAGCTCATCAAAATTGAACAATGCTAGCACAGATCAGAAGGGAGATCACAAGAGGAAGCAAGATGACATAGAAATGTGACTGCTATTAAGGGCCATCTTCAAGTAGCGTCAAGAAGTCCAAGAAGCAACCCAAGTGCGAAAAACAGTAGAAAAGGCTAATTCTTTTTGCTCTTGGATAGTGTTCACTTGGCATGCTTCTTTACTAATTAATGCTACTGTGTTGTAGTGCGTAAGCTTTGTAGTTGTGACGAGTGTAGACAGTCCTAAATTTGCATTATTTATTCACTTCTTCCGCTTTTTCTTTTAAGTTTTGTTTCTCTGCCTGCAACCTCTTCTAAACATCTTCACTAATCGAGCTATGTATGTGTCACTTCACATAAAGTGCATATGCATTACAATATTTCTCGACTGTTTATGAAGTGAAGTATGTTCTGCTATGTTCTTGTCAGCTTCAGCTCTACTATTATAGTGGCCATAACCCCGATCATTAGTCATGATGAATTGTGTTAATCAGACTACTCTTTGTCATTATTAGATGCTTTAGTTTTTATTTCTCATCTAGAGAAATCAGCTCTGAGTTTCTCCAGCTTCAGAACACTCTGCTTTGAAATTGTGCAGTTTTAGGAAACAAATTCTCTTTGCTGGGTGAATATGCATTTTGGAAACCCTGTCCTGATTTATATTAAAGAAGTTTTGCCACTCTCTGGCCATGTTAAAACTAAATTGTAATATTTCGTACTTTCTAATTCGGGATTCTTGAGTACTTTGGCGTTCTAACTTCCAAGAGTTAAAAGTCCTACTTTTGAGGCTTCGACTATATGACCATCTTATGATAAGTTAATTAAACAGGAAGTTTCATATTACCAACTTAATGGAATGATAAAGCTTTATTCTATATTACTAAGAATAATGGACAAGCCTTAATTCGGTTTAAAACAAAAAAAAAACAAAATCACTAGTTGTTATTAGGCTTCCAACAGGAGACAGCATGGTGCACCCTTCCTTTCCATCCTTGCAACAACCAGTTCCCATCTTCTTCCACAGAGAAGTTCTTGTTGTAATCCAATTTCACTTTCTCCTTTACTAACTTGACAATCTCTTGATCAAGTGGCAGTTGCTGGAATCCAGCCCTAAGGCTTCGTGCTTGCCATTGCTTGTATGTCTCTGGCCTCTCTACTCTCTGTGTTCCTTCACAAGCTATCACATTTAGCAATTCTGTGCCAAACACCATTTCCTCAAAGAGTAACCTGTCCTTGTCTTCACTCGGCACAGTCACCTCAAACATATCAAACAGTGAGGAAAAGTGAAAGAGTGCCTCCCTAAAACGCGAGTCAAAGAACGGGGCATTGTAGGTCCCGTTTACAATCCCATGGGTGAACATATCTGGATTGATGTTCTTGATCAGATTGAGTACCATGTCCCTGGGGCTGTTTGGCACCACCGTCTCATCCAACACGTTCCCTAGCCTGTCTGAACAGTTGACAACCAGCACATCACAATCCCTGTTGATCTCAAGGTCTTCGAGTGTTATACTTTCCCATTTCCTTGCTATGGCTTTGAACTCAAATGGAACGTTGAATCTCTTGCAGTACTTTTCCAGTCGAACACCAGTGGCTTTGACCCGCTCTTCAGGACGGAACCCGGGCTGAGGAAAATCTATCCCAGTAATTCGAAGCGTTGGAGGCCCACCGGGCCTCATTGAGAGGCCTTGGATGAGACATGGCCATTGAAAACCATACAGAATACCAAAATCTATGATATGCAGACTGGTAGCTCCTCCTGCTGTAAGCTTCCTAATGTGTCTGTTTGCAATCATACCTGACACTACCTTGAAGGGGATTGCGTTGAAATACATCTGGTAAGCTTTCACGATATCTGCAGCGGAGTTATTGTTGGGATGGTTAGATGCGTACAATGATGTCCCCGTTCCATTTGATCTTGCCTCGAGCGCATTAGCAAGGTAAAAGGCCATCCTCTCAGTTTCATTGCCATGGCGAGAAGAGTGCAGCCTTATTTTCTTAAGAGTCTCATTAGCTGCCCTGATGCCATAATTGGCCATGGACTGTGCACATTGGGTGAGCAAGCCTCTGAGATCCACAAATTCCTTTTTGGTTTCTGCTTTCTTTTTCCCACGCCGGTTTCTACCTCCTGCCTTGAATTCAGATTTGTCTACTTTCTTAGAGGGACAGAAAAGGGCGTCGTAGTATGTATCATCTAACAGCTCGGGTTCTTCCAAATAACCTGCTGCCAGTTGCTTGTTGTTCCTCTGGTTTTCTGCAGAATCAATTTCGGACGATGAATTTTCGTGGTTTCTTTTTCCGTTTAAAGGTGAATCGTCTCTATCAGTCTCCTCCACTCCTCCTCTGCTTGCCAGAGATAACAGGCTGTTTTGGCTCTCAAATGGGCTCGAGTCACTGGACAAAGAGTTACTCAGATGATCACTGCGTGAAAAAACGTCAGGCGGGCTGTCTATACCGTTGAGCACATCAGATAAATGTTTCTCAGTGGCTTGGAGAGCCATGCAGTCCCTGAACATGCAAGGCTGGTTCTCCAAGTCATCTTCCTCCATTAGCATCTGCCTTATGTACTTTAGAGTGGCAGCTGGGGAGTCCCCTTCACCATCCTCCTCTTCCTCCTCTTTTGTAGCAGATTCGTTCTGGACAAGGCTGTTATTTACCAAGAAACTACTACTACTACTACTAAGACTGAAGAATCTTTGCCCACTTATATACCTTGGATCCACTGGTTTAGAGTGGTGATTGTAGACCAAATCATTTGATGTGGTAAAGAGTTCTTGGATTAGAGCCTCCATTTCATGCGTTCTACCCCGACCTTAGCTTGTCACAGAAATGAGACTCCAGGGAACAGGATAAGCAACAGATTATACTATGAAGAATGGAGGGAGGAGCTGAAATACTAATCAAGTGATGATATTGACGATGAAGACAAGAAGACGGTCTCTCTCTTTGAATGAGGGAAAAGTAAATATGCTCTATGATTGGATCCTTATGTTTGATTTTTATAGAGTTTAAGGGGGCGTTTGGCTATTGCTTCTATTTGAAAGGGGATTTTTAAAGAGATTTTAGAGAAAATGTTTATTATTCAAAATTCGTAATGTTTGAGAAAAAAAGTAATTTCGAAAAAGTAAAAATTAGTAGTGTGTTAAAAAGTGTTTTTGTGTAACTGGGAGGTGTTTGGAACTGATTCTGCTTCTGCTTCTTTTTTAAAGTAGAAGCAGAATCAGAATCAGTTTTCAGAAGCTGGTCACCCCAGCTTCTAAAAAAACTGATTCTAGAAGTAAATTAAGTAATTTCGAAAAAGTAAAATTTAGTAGTCAGTTAAAAAGTGTTTTTGTGTAACTGAAAACAGAAGAATAGTTTAAACCACTCTTCCTCGCTTCTAGATTTTAGCTTTAAAGTTTTTAGTTTAAGAAAAAACTGTTACTTTAAAAAAACCTATATCAACTTTTTTATGCTAACGGTTGAAAATCATTTTTTTATCTTTTTGCAAAAAATCATTTTTTTATCTTTTGCAAACACTTGTTAAGAAAATCAAAGTTTTTTTATTTTCTGAAATGTTCCTTTTTTAGTGAATAGTACCGTGTTTCACCACTTTTTGTGTTTGCACTGCTCAATTTTTTTTAGTTTACCGTATAATTTATATACATTAATATAGAATACATTGCAATTAATTACTTAGAGACTGAGGAAGTCCAACAATAATCATCATATAATAATAAAGTAATAATTTTAATATTAATATACGAGGTAGGTGCTACGTAAATTGACAAGAACTTAGAGTGGGCGTGGCAAGTTCGAGGAAACAGAGATGGCAACATCAGATTAGCATGTTGTGGAACCTGCTTGGAAAAGTAGTCAAACTAGTCAACTGATACTGTTCTCCAAGGCTACCAGTACTAGTAACAAATTCAAGGCAGGGGCGGCTTTGAGGGCGGTTGAGCCAGGTAACTGCCGGGGGGCCTCCACAAAATTCTACTCCGTTATTAGTATTATGTGTTATTCGTAGATCGCCAATACACCAAGCGGCAACTGCAAGCAGAAATCAGCTTCATAGTTCAATTTTGACTATCCTCCCTTCAAAGTTGTAGCTTCAAAGTTGTAGCTAATGAAGTCTTCTATCCAACACAACTTGCAAAACACGATTTGAATCATCCAATCAAAATATATGAATAAAATGGTGGAAGGTCGCATTCTAAAATCTCAACAGAGATTATCTGACTTCATCATCTGTTTTCACCTTTGCTTTTCTCAGATTCTCACAATGGTGTCTTCATATGATTTGTAGCCCTCGAAGTTGGCTTTCATATGAAACTTGAATCATGTTCTTTGGATGTTCCTAAGAAAAGATATGCTTGAACGATTGACAGAACGTCATCCTGACCGTTGTTTTCAAGCTCTATTCGTCTTCTTTTGATCACGTAGCCAATTCTAGAGCTCTTTTATCTTCAAAACTTCGTCTTTAACACCTCACTGACCTCCAATGCTCCTAATCAACTCTAAAACGCTTCTCAACTCGTCCCTATTGCTTCTCAAACGCAGGTGCCAGGCTCAAATTCCCTGATTTTGACTCCAAAAATACCAAAACTCGGACCAACGGCCGGTAAATATGACTTGAGCTTAAAATTGAGACTTATGACACCTTAAAGTTAGGAAAAAACTATTAAAAGTCGATCTCAACATGCATCAAATGCGTGTCGAAATACGAACTTATCAACGTCCAACACAGATCGTTAATCGGCTACTGTATATATGCCTCACTGCCCGCCGTCGACATTGGTCCTTGGTTAGTGAATCAACTAAGACTCTTCAGCTCTTCTCTCTGAGTCTCGTTCTTGAAGTCTCTTAATACTTTTACAAGTACAAGTTTTCCTTGTGTTTTGCATATGTTTGCATTTAAAAAATTATCCTTTTGAATATTACAAACATTGTATCGTGGACTTTGAATATGCTTTTTTCATAAGGCGATTTTTATTCAATTTATCTGATTTTAAAAGTGATTTGTACATAGTAAATATTTTTCGTCTGGGGCCTCCAAAATTCTCAAGCCGCCTCTGATTCAAGGCATAATTTTTGTGTTCCATTTCATTGAATTTGTTGTGTGGGTTTAAGTTTTAAATGGGTCTATACTCCATAGCTTAAGTTCTTACTTATGCGTCTCTTCTGAAAAAGACGAAGTTACCGGTAGCCCTCGCTACTCACTAGGGATATGACTTTGGAATCAAGAACCCATAAATCATTGGCACCGAATCGTTAAAATCCGGTTCGGTTTGATTCCTACACATGAGTTATAAATTGTTAACGGTTTGATTCTTATTCTTTGTTAACGGTTCGGTTCGGTTTCTGGTTCCTACAAAAATATGTCTACGGAACCGTTAAAGAACCGTTATTAAAAAAAAACAACTTTGCTTGGTGTATACCTTTTGTGTACACCCGTCTGTCCCTAGCAGACGAGTTGTCTATCCACAGACAACAATTTAGATAACTCTTTATAGTTGTCTGTGGACAGACAACTCGTCTGCTGGGGACAGACGGGTGTACACAAAAGGTGTAGACCACGCATTTTTCTTAAAAAAAATAAAAAATTGAAAGTATAACTACTACTAGTAGTAGTAGTAGTAGTAGTAGTAGTAGTAGTAGTAGTAGTAGTAGTAGTAGTAGTAGTAGTAGTAGTAGTAGTAGTAGTAGTAGTAATAATAATAATAATAATAATAACATTAACAATAACAATAATTATAGTAACAATAATAGTAATAATAATATAATCCATAACATTTAATCACACAACAATCTAAATTTAATTGATGGAAGCGGATGAGGATGAATACATTAAACTTGTTTTTTTACAAATCATATTTTGTTCCATCACGAAAATTTCATAATTATAAAAGTAAACCAAATTAATTCGTGTTGCTTCAATATATTTTTCTTTATAATATTCAAGATGATTGTAATTGTGAGATTCAGTGTAAATAATGCACCTAGGATTTGGATGTAATGATGTTTGTATTTGTACTTGCGTATTCAATATTTTTTTTTTACGTTTTTAGGAACTTGAACTAGACGTCTTATCCTACTATGATGATCCAACTTTTGTTGATATCAAACAACAACGATTTTTACATTTTATTTACAAACAAATTTCAAAAATTATTTCATTCTATTAAGCGTTGAATAAATTAAGTTTGGACTTGATGTTCGAAGTGATAAGAGCTTCAAAAAATTCTTACTGCTTCTGTTTTGAATTTCCGACGCTTTTGTGTTGTAGAAAGTAAATTGTGTTAATTTTTTTATTGAAAAAATTTATGTTTAGGAACCGATAAATGTAAGAACCGAACCATTTACTATTGATTGGTTCCATAATGATTCTTGAAATTTTAGATAGGAATCGAACCGATTTGATTAGTTGAGTTTTTTGTAACGATTCCACTAGTTTTATACTACCTCCGTCCCGTTGGAAGGTTCTTATAGCAAAACGGCACAGTTATTTAGATACGGAGTAATAATTAAATAAAGTACTTGGAGTATATTTTGAGAAATAATTTTAATAGGTATATATTATAATGTAGTTAGTATTGATAACTGTGATGTTATAAATGTATTTCCTCCGTCCCTTAAAACTTTGCCAACTTTTTCTTTTTGAATGTTCCATTAACTTTGTCACTTTCTCTTTTTAGTAAAGAATTTGTGGTTCCAGTTAATTTTCTCTCCTCTGCACAAACCTAAACTACACAGTTTTTACTTTATTAATCATCATGCCGGTCAAACTTGATAAAGTTTTAAAGGACTGAGGAAGTATTATTTTTAATATTTAATAATTAATTTATCACTTAAAATTATTAATTGTTTCCTAAAATGAAAATGGAAACTTTTATATGGGTCATCCAAGAAAGAAAAATAAAAAACGCTTGGAGGATAAGAACCGAATTGTTCACGGGCCTATCTCACGGTTTTCCTTTATGTCAGCCACAATGGCACTACCTGACAAAGACGAAGTTACTGGTAGGCGGTAACCAAGAGTCCAAGACATCTGGAGCCCACTACAGCATTATTATTAGTGCCTGTCATATGTTCTAGCAGGGGTGTGTTCGGTTCTTGCGGTTCGGTTTTGACCTAAAACCAAATATAGAATCAAAGTAAAAAGTTCGGTTCGGTTTCGGTTCGATTCTACACTCCAAAACTTGGAACCACAGTTTAATTGGTTTGGTTTGTTTCGATTCGGTTTTGTTTTTTTCGGTTTTTTACCAAAAAATTATCATTTGATTTAAATATGATATAATACTTTGAGGGATCAAACATATATTACATAAAGAGTGCAAGCACACTACAACAAATAAAATAAAAATGAAAATAAATAAATATGTCATGAATTATATGAGTATGCGAGAGAGATAAAAGTATATATTATTAATTTACATTGTTTGTGACTAGTTCAAAAAAAGTTCATGAGTATTTCTCTAAGTTATATCACATACGTTATATGTGATATAGTTGAGATAAATATTTATTGTTTCATCAATACGAATTCTTTAAGTTAAATAAAAATAAAAGTTAATTAAATCTAATAACAAGTAAAAATATATTATCAGTATAGCTACATTATTACGTGCAATGAATATGTAAATGATTTCACAAACTAAACTAAACATAACAAACATTATTTCTCTAGCACAAGAAAACAAAAACTATTAATGATATTAGGATTAGTTAGGATTAATGCTTAACAATGGACAAATAAATTTTACTCCGTATATTTTAACTAGTTCGGTTTGTTCGGTTCGGTTCGGTTTTGAAGGGTAAAAACCAAAACCGAACCAAACAACTACGATTCGGTTCGGTTTTTTACATTCGGTTTCGGTTTGTTAGCGGTTCGGTTTTATTTGGCTACGGTTCGGTATGATTTGATTCGGTTTTCGGTTTTCGATTTTTCGGACCCAGCCCTATGTTCTAGGGATGGACTAAACCGGGCCGGCCCGGCCCGGAACCGGCCCGGCCCGCTATTGTGCGGGCCTGAACCGGACCGGAACCGGTTGGTCGGTTCCGGGCTTTTAGCCCGTTTGGATGGGTCGGGCGGGCCGGGCTCGGACCCAGTTTTGGGCGAACCGGCTCGGGCGGTTCGAGCCGGGCCCGGGTCAATTTTTTTTTTGTTTTTTCAATTTGTTTTCTTTTCCTAGGGTAGGGCTGGGTGTTTTGGGGAGGTTTGGGGGTGGGGGTGAGGGGGGGGGGGGGTCGGGGGATAACAAGAAAGTAAAAAAAAATAGACATTGAACCGGGCCTGACCCGGGCCGGTTAGCCCCGGACCCGTTATCAACCCGGGCCGGTTCCGAGCCCAAGGATTTGCAAAAAAAAGCCCGCCCGGGACCGGCCCGGGTCCATCCCTAATATATTCATATCTTGGTGTGGACTCTCGTACCAAAAACGTCATTGCACACGTAAGCATTTCTACGTACATTTAACATAATATTTTTGGTTAGACATTTAACACATCTCAAGGAAAGCATAGTGATACCCGATATTAGGTCTAAAATAAACTTCACACTTCTTTCCCCTTCCTTATTTGGCAAATTATCTACATCAAAATAGTGCAAAACAGTGTCAAACAGTGCCAAACAGTCTTACAACAATGTACTCTATAGTAAAGTCAAATTTATTTTTTTAATTTGTGTGAAGTCAAAGTGTGAAATTTATTTAGGACCGGAGGGAGTATTATTGTAGATAGAAATGAGAGCTAGAAAGGGAAAGTAAGGATATACTCCCTCCGTCCCGAAATAATTGTCCTGCTTTCCTTTTCGATCCGTCCCGAAATAATTGTCTCATTTCCTTATTTGGTAAACAAATCTATACAAAACAGTGTCAAACAGTGCAAAACGATGCCAAACAGTGTCGCTACAGTGCCAAACAGTGTCGTTACAGTGCCAAACAATGTCGAACTTCACTTTCTTAAGCTGTGTGAAGGTCAAACCAGGACAATTATTTCGGGACAGAGAGTATATTATTAGAGAAATTCTCAGGTCCAGCACCTCTTGGTCCGAACGTTGTCCGAACACCGCAGTTTAGGGCGGTTCTCGGCAGAATTTTTTGATAAATTTTTTTGAGCATTTTCCTCATCAAGTCTAGTTTATCCATACCAAATTTCAGCTCAAAATTCGATCAGGAAGGCAGTCAAATAATTCGTTGAAGTTAACTGCGCCAAAAAATAATGCAGTTAACTTCAACGAATTATTTGACTGCCTTCCCGATCGAATTTTTGAGCTGAAATTTGGTATGGATAAACTAGACTTGATGAGGAACATGCTCAAAAAATTTAATCAACAAATTCCGCCGGGAACCTCCCCAAACGGCAGTGTTCGGACGGTGTTCGGACAGAAAAATGCTGGACAGGAGAATGACTCTATATTATTAACTATTCATTCTTGCAAAGTTCCCAAAAAAGAGTATATAAAGGCAAAATGTGGGCCAGGCCGTTAGGTTGGATCTAGTGGGCCCAATTACATAAAATGGGCTAATAGATATTACAAAAGCTAATCTACGGAGGGATGCTCTGAAGTGCTGAAGGCTCATGTCAATTGCTGATGGCTCATTGTGAGGGCTCTTTGCGGGGTTGGCTGAGGGCAAGGGCGGATCCAGGAAAGTCATTTTGGGGGGGGGGGGGGGGGGGGGGGGCGAAAATATTTGGGGGGGGGTTCAAAATACTTTTTGGAAGAGCAAAAATCATTTTTCGTATATATATACACTAAAAAAAATTTGTTGGGGGGGCGGTAGCCCCCCTGGGTCTCTACTACGGTCTGCCCCTGGCTGAGGGGTCATACTGAGGGCTTGTATCTGGATTGCATGAGTGTGAATCAAATGTCTTCTGTCTTGGACCATATACTCCATCAAATGGCATATATAATAAATGTAGAAGTGTCAATCACCTTGTGGTTTGATAGCATCAATGTGACAGATGTTGGCATTTGACATCGAACAGATGCTATAAAATCATTTGTAGTGGGGAGGGATATTATTAAACATTTATAAAATTTATAGGTGTTGCAAAAATATATTCCTTTGTCCCATAAAGTAATTCTGATTTCGGTTTACGATGTTTGAATGTCGATTGGTAAGCGGCTAATCCATTCCTGTAAACACTCATTTTATTTTTAGTAAATTAAATTTACATATTTAGAAACTACATTAGAAATTCTACAAAATCGCAAAAAATAATTCAAATTTAATAAAAGTTAAATTATATAAAGTAAAAAATTAAGAACTTTATTTTGGGAGGAAGGAAGTGTTATTTAAAATGATTGACCCATTCAAAGCCAAGTTCGTATGCCTGCGCCGCCCACTCACTCAGAGTCAGATCAATCATGTGGGCTATCATTTACCTATATTTAGAAAATTAACTTTAAAAATAACAAAACATAGTCAATGCAAAAGTGAGATGAACCTAGTGGAAACATAGACAACTTAGGTAACAAAATGGCATTCAGTATGCATTGCATGCAACAGTGGAAAGGAATATGCAGTGATCAATGTTGAAGAGGCTTCCACAAACTGAGAGCAAAGATGACTCTTCCCTTCCAACTTTGCAACATCTATTCTCCATCTTGATCTACACTGAAATCTTTGTGGTACCCCATTCTAACATTTGCCCTCATTTCCTTCATGATCTCTTGATTCAATCCAAGCACTTTGAATCCTGCCCTCTGATTTCTCACCTGCCATTGTCTGTAAGTCTCCGATCTCTCCACCCTTCCTTTTCCTTCACATGCTATCACGCTTAGAACTTCCCTTCCCATTATGTCTTGCCCAACCATCATTCGTCCTTTGTGTTCGTGTGGCATCGTTGCGTGGAACATGTCGAACATTGCATAGAAGTGAAAATAAGATTCCCGAAATCTTGTCGTGAAGAACGGGGCATTGTACATGGCATTCACAACTCCATGAACAAAAAAACTTGGGAATCTCTAGGGCTGTTCTTCTCCCCTGCCTGGTATGTGTCACATTAATAATTAGCCACTCTACTTTTTTATGTATATGTAAATATGAGGTTTTTCAAAATCATTACCAAATTAAAGTTCATATAGAAACATATTATTCCATGATCAATCTGATCACTTTAAAAATACATCCAAGATCAATGTAGTGTAAAATTAAACATTACTCTAAGCATTGTAATCATTAGGAACATATACTAGGGGTGAGTAACAAAAGAAGAAAGCGAAAACAAAAATAAAAACCCAAACAATTGAAGAATTGTACTACGTAATTTTTTGTTAACCATACTTGATTTGTTAGGTGGATTTGACTTTGCATCTTAATGTTTGGGCTATATTGAACTTTATATCCCATTTTCCGAAGAATTAATTTACAAGTTTCACAAAAATATACTTGGTGTATTCATCAAAATGATTGAAAAAGTTTCCCTTAGGGACAGAGGTACTATATATATTCATATAGAGTTCAAAATTAAGAGTACTGAGTACATACGCTTACCGTCTCATCAGTGACATTCTTTCGTCTGTACAAGCAATTCACCACAATTGTTTCGTCTGGATCAATCTTGAGATCCTTTGGATTAATGTTCTCCCAGTTCTTGGCAGCTATGGCATTTTATACTCAAAGGGGACGTTGAATCTCCTCGCAAACTTCTTGAGTCGATGTCCGGTTTCCTCGACCCTCTCGGCAGGCTGGAAGCCCGGGTGAGGGAAATCAATTCCGGTGATCTGAAGCTGTGGAGGTCCTCCAGGCCGGAAGGAAATGCCGTGAATTATGCACGGCCATTGGAACCCGTATAGAATGCCAAAATCAATGATATGAATCTTTGGCGATCGACTTGTTTGCGAAAATGTTGGACATTCTCTTGAATGGGCATGCTGTTATGTAGAACTGATAAGCATTCAGGTAGTCTGCAGCTGACATTTTCTTGCTAGTTGTGTACAAGGATATTCCGGAGGCAGTAGAGCAGCCTCAAGTGCATTTGCGAAGCAGTGCGCAACCCTTCCAGTAGCATCACCATATGGGGAAGAATGTTGCCTGATTAAATATTTTACAATGTAGTGATCATAACATTATACGCGTAGTAACTTTAAACATATTTTTATTTATTAGTCGAGTATGTTTTATTTCATTAATAGTTTACCAAGAACATGAGTACACAAACACAAACTTTCATACTCCCTCTGTCCCAAAAATATTGATATATTTTGACTTTTCTTGGTCAATGATGGTTAAGTTTGACCAATGATATCTTTTAATACAAAATTATTTAAAATATCAAAAGTATATGAACATATTCTTTATTAAAAAATCTTACATAAAAGTATAAAATTTATAAATTACAAACAAATATAATACCTAAAATCATTGTCTAAACTTTACCACCATTGACCAAGAAAAGTCAAAATGTATCAATCTTTTTGGGACGAAGGTAGTATAATAAGATCTTGGTTACTCCACAATTAGGTTATGATTATAGGATTGAACTAAACGTTTTAATATGATGTCAGATGAGAAGAAGTTTATAGACGCAACTTGATCCGGGGATTAAAAGAGTATAAGAAATGGGAGTAAGTTACTTCAGGTCTAATCTAAAAGACATGAACAACACATATATAGTCACTTTTTAAAAATGTGTATAAAAATTTATTTTCTCATACCAAACACCTCAAAAACCTCAAAATTTATTTTCTCATACCAAACCTCAAAAGAGTATACTCCTTACTCAGCTTTCAAAATTAAGCCATCTCACACATACAATTACTTTATATATTACTCCCCTTTATATATTAGGTTAGGACTTTAGATTGGGACATGTATTGTAAGTTTGTAACTACTATATATATCTAATGATAGCAATCCACTTATGAATTCTATAGTTAAACTACCTGATGGTTGTTAGCCATTGTTGGAACTTCTTGTCTCCTGTAGCCTCCGCTTGGGCACAATGAGCTAGAAGACTGGCGAGGTCGACGATCTCCTTAGCCTTGGCTCCTTTCTTGCTCCCTCTCGGCCTTCCACGCTTACTGCCCTCCATGTACTTCTTGTCTCTTCCTTCATTTCTTGAAGTTTCCTCAGAAACCCATGAAGCTGATGAGCTGTCTGTCATAGAAGGCAGGATTCATGGAAGGACAAAGCAGCGCTCTGTCATAGTTCTGCTCTAATTCATCTGTCTCTTGATCAAACCCATTGGCAAAAAGCTGCTTGCTTTTGCGCTCTTCTTCACACCATTGATCAACATCTCGGCTGTGTTTTGTTTTTATTTCATTCCTCTCTGTTATCGTCTTCCCCGTCTGTTCGTGCTCTCAATGGAACTGGATGGCTGAATGATTTCTCAGCTGCCTGGAGAGCCATGGAGTCTTGGAACATGCAGGGCCTGTATTCCAAGTCGTCTTCCTCCATAAGAATCTGCTGTATGTACTTGAAGACCCCGTCGAAGTAGTCTCCTTCCACCGGAGTAAATGAAGAAGAAGAAGCCGGACATTCATCCCTTGAGCTATCTCGAGCCAGTAAGAGGGTGTCCATGACATAACTTCTTGTTTAATTCTTGGGAATATAATATATTGGAAAGTGGAAGAATTACAAGAAGAAAGGATTGATGATAATAATGATATCTAAAATGGTTTTACTTGGTGCACACATTTTCTATACTTGTACACTGACAACTCTCAAAGTTTTTACATTTTTTAGATGAAATGGCTATCTATGGAGGCAAAATAGGGCCAAAATAGGGAATGTACAAAACAATGTACACAAAACGTGTGCAAACATATTTTGATATATAAAAAGTAATGAGAATTTGTAGAGACAGAGAGAGAACTAGGAAATTAAACTATGCGGAAAGGTACAAATGGAGGCATGCATGTTCATAGATTACAGACTAGTCATGAATGGCACAGACTGGGTGTTGGCCATAAAACAGATGCAATATTATAATGAGTAAATGTCAAGTGCATGTATTGCTGCACATAAGGGATGGGTGGAATAATACTAAATTATAAAGTCAAAAATATCCATTTTTATTATGCAGTGATTCTAGAAGTAAAAATAGAATAACTAGTAGAAATTTGGTACAACTCTTCAGATATAAAAAGCTGTTTATTAAAAGGTAATTGACCTGGAAGTAAAATATATCATTTTTCCCTAAATAGCAGTCCACCTTTAATCTTCCCTAAATAGAAGTAAACATGAATTTTTACCCCTAATTTAATTAATTAATATAATTAATTGTCCTCTGGTTCTCTTGTATAACCGGGTCAGTCCGTAGGTAAGCGGATTAGTCCGTTGATGGCGGGCAGTCCGGTGGTGGCGGTGACCATCGGCAGCAGTGAAGCTCCAGCGGCATGCAAACTGGCAATGGATAAAATCTGGCATGTTGGCGGCACCCGACAAATCAATGGCGAACACGCAACAAATCTGGGTAGTTAGTTGAACTACCCAGGCATATATCAAACAGAATCCAAGATAAACCTAACAAAAATTCCTTTTGTACACCTTCTTATACACGTTAGTACACCCTGTGTCTGTGAGAGTTTTTTTTGTCTGTGAACCCCAGTCCACCGACAAAAACTGACAAAACAAGTCAGTTTTTGTCTGTGGACTGGGGTTCACAGACAAAAAAAACTCTCACAGACACAGGGGTGTACTGATGTGTATAAAAAAGTGTACACCAAGAATTGTTGTAAACCTAAAGGGCTAATCCATTGTGAACACGGAACACCCCTTCGTTATTCCACTAATACATCGACCATTGTCACACACTCACCCCACCTCTTATCTTTACTCCATTTCCTACTCAGTTATAGTTCGTAAACAACGGCTAAAAACAAAGATATCCCAGCAAGGTCTGCATCAACTCATATGAGAACCCATGTGAGATTTTCTAGCGAATATAAATTGAACCTATGAGAGGAGGACTTATGATGCAGCTCCAATATGTTGCTAAGGCATTGGTTCTTTTACATTTTTCTCCATGTCGCAATGTCCTTTTCCTTCCCCAAAATAACATTATAATAACTATAAATAAGTTATTCATAAGAAGTAATAAGTAAGAGAACACTTGTAATAATACAGATAAAATGCAGAAATAGACCAACAAATGACTGTTCTTCAGGCAATCATCCCTAGATATTTTGAAGAGAAAAAAAAAGACTGTTTTTCACCCAGTCACTGCAACTTCATAAAAATCAAATTATCAAACATGGGAAAAATGAAGTGTTGCAATAAAGCACTCTTGAATTGAGAAATAAGATTATGGAGTGAAGACTGTATTTTTGCTCAAACAAAGAGTTAGAGACTAACAACAGATCATTAATGACTAAAGTTCTTACATATACAGATCGACCAGGCCATCCCGGCCTGTTCAAGGTCGAAAAGCAATGCAAGGCTGATCAATATCAACACCTAGCTTTGCTTGTTTATGTGGAAGAGCTAACTAGGTACCCAGCATGAACTTGCACATAGAATCCGCCCCTTCCACCCCTGCAACATCCAATGACCATCTTCCTCCAACATAAAGTTTTCATGGTACCCTGCTTTCAACTTTTTTCCGATTTTGATCATTATCCCTGGCATCACTGGAAGAAGTTTGAACCCAGCCCTAATAGTCCTCACTTGCCACTTCTTGTACGTCTCAGGCCTTACAATCCTCCCTTCCCCCTCACATGCAATCACATTAAATAACTCACGCCCATAGATTTCTTGCTCAAAGAGAAACCTCTCCTCATCATCACGGGGTAATGTATTCTCAAACATATCAAAAACTGCAGAGTAATAGAAGAGAGCTTCTCGGAACCGGGTGACAAAGAATGGAGCACTATAAGACCCACTAACAACACTGTGCACAAAAACACTTGGGTTCAGTTTACGGATTAGCTTGAGTACTGCATCACGAGGACTGCCCCCCATCACTGTTACATCAAGCAGGTTTTGTAACCTATATGAGCACTTCACAGCAACCATCTCACCTCTAACGAGCTTCAAGTCTTCAACTTTAAGTGTCTCCCAATTCTGAGTTGCTATTGAATTGTACTCAAATGGCACATGGAATCGCTCACAATATTTTCCCAGCAGGCGGCCAGTCTCTTCTATCAGTTCCGCTGGCCGAGAACCTGGTTCAGGAAGCTCGATTCCAGTAACGCGAAATTTAGGAGGCCCGCCGGGCCGGATTGCTAAATGTTGGATAAGAGAAGGCCATTGGAAACCAAACTCAATGCCAAAATCTATGACATGTAGAACTTGAGCTTCCAATGACATCATGAAAATCATTTTATTTCCAAAGCCTATTGACATCTCCTCAAATGGGCATGCTGACATGTAAACCTTGTATGCACCCAGCTTCTCAAAAGCTGTGATCTTTTTGGGGACTTGGGATTTATAGAGCTGGGTCCCCAAGCCAGCCAAACGTGCCTCAAGACCATTTGCCATTACATATGCCAGCCTCTGATTCACATCACCTTTAACTGAACAGTGCTTTCGGATCTGTGTCAGTTGTTCATTTGCAGACTTGCGATCATCAGCAGCAACTGATTGTGAACAGTTGGTTAGAAGAGTTATAAGGTCTACAACTTCACTTGTATTTTCCTGCTTCTTCTTCTTTGTGCGCCTTTTACCACCATTATGTGGCATACCCTCACCATTCAGCACATCATATGGCAGGGCGTGACCAAATTCAGCGACATTCCTGCGACACTCGTCAGGATCAAGCAGCAAAACTTTATCAAACATCTTTGTCAACTCCTCTTCCACATAAACTGCAGATTGCTTGTTGCTTCTCTCTTCCTCAAGCTCGTCTTCCTCAAGAGGCAATGAGTCTTTAACCAAATCTATAACCAATTGATTAGTAGCCGGGAGGATTTTACTCGCTTCCTCCACTCCTCTCTTGAACTGCAGCATGGTTTCTGTGTCAATAGATATATTTCTAAGCTCACCATAATTTAACATAGAGTCCACTTGGATTTTCATACTACTCCCGTAATTATTTAAAGAAGCATTTGAACTCACAGAGGAGGTAATCGGAAAAGAGGAATGGAAAGGCAGTTCAGGAGGAGGAATCACAAAAGATGATTGTATAGGATCAACAGTCCACTGTGGTGGTTCACTTGAGTTGTCACACATGCTTTCCGAGCTTTGTGTATTTGTATGGCTAATGTGGGATGCATGAGGAGGAGAGTTTCTATCAAGGGCTTCATAGAAGTATTTCTCAGTAGCTTCAAGAGCAATTGGGTCACGGAACATACTGAGCTTCTCATTGATGTTCTCCTCAAACAGTATCTGGTTGAGGAACTTGAAAACAGAATTAGTGTCATGTTTTTCTTGTGAGTCCAACTCTGCAGGTGGAGCAAAATAGGAATGGTTGGAACTGGATGTACTCAAAGGGTCACCCGTGAATTCCAGAGCAGCTAATGAGTCATCCGAGTACTTGCAAGGAATATCTTGAGATTGCTGAAGGCTACTGGAAAAAGAGAACTCATCTTGCTGCTCAATTGTATTTTTAGAGTCAGGCAACTTAGTAAATCGAGGATCCATAAGTAAACATATATGTGAAAAGAACCTGCAACATCCATAGTCAGAACACCTATGAGCCATAACATTTTGAAATGTGAAATTGGAGCTCGACATAGTCAGCCTTAGCCCTATGAGGCGTAACGAGACATAAACCTCGAATTTTCTATTGTAGAATTATTAATTAAAAATAATTTCAAAAATAATTTAATAAATAGATAACTCATCCTCGAAGCTCAATGACAAAAAATCTTGAAGCACAAAGATATCACACATTCTATTGTTAAAGAAAGATAAAACGATGAACCAGTACGTTGACATGAAAGAAGAATAAAATAATGAATTTGTAGGAGATGATATTTGTTTTTTAATTAATTGGCTTACTAAGAAAGCATCACTTAACCCCTTCTGATAATTTAATACAGACTTGAAGTTACAGAAAATTTAAAGTTAGCACCCAAAGAAGGTTTTCAAATCGAGATTCAAATCCTACTTGGGCAGATGAACATTTTGGAGGGATAATACAACAATACACATTGTTGAATTAAGACTCCAGATTATTATAGATTGAAGATTGTATTTTTTCTCAAACAGAGAGTGAGAGATTAACATCTGTTGGTGAATACAGTTCTAACAAGCATCGATCAAACTCTACTTGTAATTGTGTCAGTATACCACATGTAACCACTACTTGGCTGATAATGCCTCCAACCTCATATTTAACATTGTGGAGTAGTGGAAGAGAGCCTCTCAGAACCGAGTAGCAAAGAATGGAGAACTATAAGATCCATTTGAAACAAACTAACAGAGTGAACAAAAAAAAATTGGGATCAGTTTGCAGATTAGCTAGGTTTAGAACTGCATCACGGGAATGTCCAGATGTCCACCTATCTGGTTTAATCGAGCACCATTTTAACCTATGCGAGAAGTTCACAGCAACCATCTCACCTTTGACGAGCGTCAAATCTTCAAATTTAATCATTTCCCAATTCCGAACCAAAGCGCTCACGATAATTACTTTGTCAAATCTAAGAAGATATAAAATTAACGATAGCCTTTGCAAACAAAATTATTTATATTTGGTATCAGTGGAAGCTAAAACGCTACAGATTTGAACCAGTAGGTTGACATGAAAGAAGAATAAAATAATGAATTTGTAGGAGATGATATTTGTTTTTTAATTAATGGCTTACTAAGAAAGCATCACTTAACCCCTTCTGATAACTTAATACAGACTTGAAGTTATAGAAAATTTAAATTTAGCATGCTTTCAACTGCTCAAAAGCTATGATCAGGCACATTAAATTGCAAGAAGATCTAAAAATTAATTCTTATTCATAATGTAGCGATAAATATCTATACTTTAAGAATCACTTGACTAAAACACTGGATTAACAAACAGACCGCAACGGCACCGCATCACCCTTGTGCGAACTTGAAAATATTTCACGCCGCAATACGTATCACAGGGCCGCATTAGCGGCTACCCGGATGAACGCAACCACTAAGGCTATTGCAATTTAAAACCCCGGGCACACATAAAACCATTACGGGTCTGGAAATAAACATCTTTAGTGGAATTATTTAGAGCTTAAGCCCTTGTCTTTAAAGGAAATGAGTGTTCAAATTGACGGGAAAAAAGGAGAAGTGCTGGATTATATTGGAATTTCAATGAATTAAGAGAGAGTTTTAATTTAGGCAGTCGATCACTAGAGAAAAGAAACGCACAGAACAGCTCAAGAGCTAATTCAGACACGCACCTGGGCTGGGATCCTAAAAAATAAGAGGAGCAGACTGACAGAGCATAATCAAGGTCATCTGTGTGGGAGGGGAAATGGAGTCCAAAATGCTAAATTTATAGGAAACGGAAAACGGCTGCAGGAAGCGGGAAAACCGGAATCAACCGCCGAGAAAGAAGGCCGGTAAACAACAAAGCAGATGGCGGGCCCAGGGAAAGACAATGGCGCAGGAAAAACTTAAAAAGAGGTAAATCGGTGAAGTCAGCTGTGGTAAATGGTAATCCCTCACTTTCAATGGCCCCGATGTGCAGAGTAAATGATACGGACTAAATGCGAGATAATTTGAAAAGAAATGGTCTTATCGTCCTATTTATCTTAGGAAATGTGTGTTTGGGAGTTGGTTTTGGAAGAGAAGGGAAGGTTAATGGGGTTTATGACTCTCCTTTTAATGTTTTGGAGTTTAAAAAATTGGAGAGTGGTTTTGGAGGGCTTTTGTAACCCTTCAAAACCCTCCAAATGCTTAATTTTTAAGTTCCCCCAATTTGGAGGGTTTTGAAGGATAATTAACAAAATGGTAATTTAAGCTAAATTAGAAATGAACATCAACTCAATGATTTGAATTCGTCATATCTCAAAGTGATTTTAATTATAATTCCTTCAAAAACTTTCTCCTTCCAATTTTATTACTCCCAAATACAAAGGACTTCCTCACTCTCTCTTCTCTTTCCCCTCCAACAACATACCTCCAAAGCCTTCTCCTCCCCTTCCCTCCAAACTCCCAAACATACCCTTAGAGTCAAAAAGAAAGGAAACATATGTTATTGCTTTATTGGGTAGGCCGGCCTTCCGCTTCATACTTTCTTCGTCCCGAAATTAAGTTATCACTTTTATTTTTGGAATATCCTAAAATGCTCACTATATTGACAAAGTGAATACGTTTGTGTTGGGACATTGGGCCACCGGAAAAACCGAACAATCGATCGGCCCAATATCACCAAGCCACCTCTTGTCTTGCCTCCCAAACGCATAAGTATCAGGGTTGGGTGCCTATCTGAGGCCGAACGAGATCCGGTAAAGGGGTCGAGTCTGAAAGCAGTACATCGGGGAATCTGAAAAGGACGCGAGCCACCTCAACCAAGCCAAGTAGCATTGACGAAAGGGCAAGCCTAACGGTGCTTACGTTTGATCCCCGAGTTGATGCTTGGCCTAAGGACAACACGGGCAGCACCCGTGCGCACTTGCATAGTTGCACGGATGTTTGCGAAGAGATTCAACGTCCATTTTGAGTACTATGCAATAGCCAAGACATGGGAGGCCAATAGACTATCACTCCAAAGGAAAATGTGGACTCGATAAGCGTTCATATAGTCTGCAGTGGACATTGTCTTGCTAAAATCTCAAAAAATAGTAGGAAAAAAGTCACTCAATTTACGGCCCACGAACACAATAACTTGTGTTATGCAGTGACAATGGCGTTGATAGTGAGTAATTGGCGGTTTACCCAATGGAATGATTGACAGCTACATATCTAGTCACTTTTTTTGAATTTATAAAACAAATGTCACATATTGTCTTAGCTTTTAGTTCAGTCAAACCAAAACCTCAAAACAGTAACTCCTTTCAAATTTAAGTCATCTCCATCTCACTCTCAACGAAACTCGATGGCTGAAGGTAAAGGCATCATAGAATGATTTCGCAACTCATTCAAGAGCCATGGAGACTTAGAACATGCAGGGTCTGTATTCCAAGTCGTCTTCCTCCACAATCAAGCATTTGTTCATCTGTTTTTTATTTATAACTATTCAGTAAAAAACTATTGATAAAATTTAAGTAATTTTATTACCTCGATGTGCAAAAAAATATGTAGTGTAAATAATATTAGCAAGCCACCTTTTGTCTTGCCTCCCAAACACAAAAGGACCAGGGATGGGTGCCCATCTGAGGCCGAACGAGATCCGGTAAAGGGTTGAGTTCGAAAGCAGTACACCGGGGAATTGGGAAAAGAGGCGAGCCACCTCAACCAAGCCAATTAGTGGCATTGACGGAAGGGCGAGCCTAATGGTGCTTATGTTCGATCCCCGAGCGAATGCTTGACCTAAGCACAAAATGGGCAGCACCCGTGCGGACTTGCACAGTTGCACGGATGTTTGAGAAGAGATTTAACATCCATTTTGAGCACTATGCCATAGCCAAGAAATGAGAGGCCAATAGACTATCACTTCAAAGGAAAATGTAGACTTGATAAGCATTCATATAGTTTGCACCAGACACTGTCTTGCTAAAATCTCCAAAAAATAGTAGGAAAAAAAATCCCCGAATTTACGGTCCACAGACACAGTAACTTCTATTATGCGGTGACACTGGCGGTGATAGTGAGTCAACATGTTTACCCAATGCCAATGGCGTCATGATAGCTCCATCTCACTCTCAACGAAACTGGATGGCTGAAGGTAAAAACATCATAGAATGATTTTTTAGCTGCTTGAACAGACACGGAGTCTTCGAACATGCAGGGTCTGCATTCCAAGTTTTCTTCCTCCACAATCAAGCTTATGTTCATCTGATGTATGTACTTGAAGACCCCTTCCACTGGAGTAGATGAATAATTGGAGAAGCTTGGCATTCATCCCTTGAGCTATCTCGAGCCAGAAAGAGGGTGTCTCTGACTTAGTTTCCTGTTTAATTCTTGGGAATATATTAGAAAGTGGAATGACAAGAAGAAAAGATTGATGATAATAATAAAATCTAAAAAATGAAAATTTCTAGGGGCAGAGGGATAACTGGGAAATCAAATTATGCAGAAAGGTAGAAATGGATGCATGCATGCATGTTCATAGATTACATATTTACAGACTAGTGAATTGCAGATTGGGTGTTGGTCATAACACAGTTGCAACATTATAGCAGGAGTAAATGTTCACTCCGTATAAGAAGTAAAAATAAAATAACCAGTACTTAGTACTATTCATTAGATAAAAAGGGTCTTACTTAAAATGTTTTTTTTTCAATATAGAAGTGCCACTTGTGGAATTAAGTACATTTACAAGAAAGTCAACAAACTCTAAACACGAAGCCCAAAAAATATTGAAGATATACGGAGTATTTCAAAGAAAGTTCATGCGGGAATGGAGGACTGTCCCCGGTATATGGCATGCACCCATTCTTTACATGTATGTGTACACAAACATACGCATCTTGTGTTCTGTTTGTTGGAGGAAATTCGGTCAGATAAACCTGCAAGTGTTAGAAAATAAAATAGCTCGAGTCGCGTGAACACTGTCCTCAAGAAAGTATTTCCGACTAGCGAAAACCTTTCCCCAAGATTAAACGAGCTCTTCGGCGTAAGCCGGTAACAGAACAACGATAGTAGAAAATTATTAATCTAGCAGAAGAATGATTAGAAGTTTGCACAATTGTGAGGAAGATAATGATCACCCATTCCAAGTAGAAGTATGCCCGTATATTTATACTAACAAAATTATAACGTTGTGGCTCACGGCTCAGGTGGAAAACAATTAGAAATCAACTTTCTAATAGTAAATAAAATAGATTAAAAATTTGCAATTAAGCATGATATTAACGTTACTAGTTAATAACCATCATTGTAGGAGTATGGGACATACGTTATGGGACTTATGGATCAGACACTCACGCACTCATTGTTTAATATTAATGGTTAAACGATGAATTTTAAAATATTAATAAGGATACACGTACATATGATATAACTTCCCAAAGTAAATGGACATTTATAGTGCCTAACGTTAATATTTTGAAGAATTCAGTGAACATTCATTAAAATATTTTTTAATAGAATATAAAAAATATCTAATTTATGAAATTGATCAATAAAGTATTTTTCATTTGAAATGTAGGGTGTGTTTCGGAAAATAAAGAAAATTAATTAATAAAGATTAATTAAAATAAAATGACAAGAGAAAAACAAGAAAGGAGATGAAGCAGAATTACTCAAAGCTCGTGCTACGCACGATTTCCTTAAAACGTATTTGTTGCCTCCCACGGTGCTAGGAGCGTTGCAACAATCGTTTCCCAGGATACGATGACTACGAACTAATGTTTGAGCACACAAACAAGAGTTCCAGCGAACGAGAACCAAGTATGAACACAGAAGGAATTTTGCAGAGTAGCTGTAGGTGTTTTTAGCTCAAGAAATTCGTGAGGAAAGTATTGTGCGTTGTGTCAAAACGTGTGTTTGTTGCAAACGTGCGTTGTGTCAAGAGTACCTGAACGTTGGACATCAATGACCAGTCCGTTGGGCATTGAATCGTCCATAAACTGTCCATTTAATGCAGCATTAAAAGAGAAGAACGTTGGGCATTAATTGTTGTAACGGAAGAAATGCGCGACAGAAGACCCAAACAGAACACCCCTTGGAGGGTTTCTGTCCGAAGCCAGCAGAACACCCCTTGGAGGGTTTCTGTCCGAAGCCAGCAGAACACCTCTTGGAGGGTTTCTGTCCGAAGCCAACAGAACACCTCTTGGAGGGTTTCTGTCCGAAGCCGGCAGAACACCCCTTGAGAGATAGATTTTTGGACGGCATTCGTGTCCGCAGGTCACCCGCGCACACGAGTCGCGGTTTTTCTTCTCCGTTTCGGGATTTGATCGGCACCCCCCCCTGCGCGTAAGAGAGAGCCTTTCCCTTTAGGAATCTTAACTCCTTAAAAGAGGCTTCCCTTTATAAGGGGGTGAAAATCCCTTGAGTTTTTCGGTGTGGGATAAAACACACTAGAAACTCACCATTTTCCCAGTTTTTCCATTTCAACGAGTGAACTTCGAGAATCAATTTCTCATTCACCCGTTATCCGTTTTGAGTGTACCACATATCGAATTGTAGCCCTTAACAAGGACAATCCGAAACTACTTTGACCCGACCCAAATCGGAAGTGGACCCCACTCAAATAATTGCCCCAAAATGACCATTTAATGCAATTTTTAACACATTTTTCCAACATGAAATACTCTCAATATTTCCAACAATACCCCACATATTTCAAATGAATATTTTTAGATGTTAGAAATAGTTTAGAAAATTTCTGTTGGATTAAATGAATGAGACTTTAAGTTTGGTGTCTATAGACTATGAACCAAACCGAGACGATTAAGTCTTAATAAACCGAGCTTTTGGTGAAACATATAGTTTCTATGAACCAACAAGCTACTATTGGTAAATCAGGGTCTTAACGGTTGTGTCTCATCCTGCACAATTTCTCGTTATTACGCCGTTGTGCGCCGTAAGGCCATGCACGTGTTTGGTGTTCATGAGTGCTCTAGAAGTTTTGTCATGCTTCATAGAGGCGGCCCAACCTCACACTCATATAGGTGATATCATCAAGTGTGTACCCCTTTTGCACACCACCCTAAAATTAAGGGCTATGATAATCATTAAGAGCTTTAAGCTCACCCTCTCAAAGAATGCGGTTTC